TTTTTAAATAGATTTTATTTGGTTTTTTTTATTTACTTATTTTTTAATTATTTATTTATATTTTTATTATTTAATTATTTAATTTTATTTATACAGTGTTCTGTATAATAATGCCAGAAGAGGGAACCAGATCAAATTGCAGATGGTTGTGAGCCACCATATGGTTGCTGGGAATTGAACTCAGGACCTCTGGAAGAGCAGCCAGTGCTCTTAACCTCTGAGCCATTTCCCCAGCCCCTCTGACTCTCTATTGATGGACCCAGGGGGCAGAGACCCTGAATCAAGACAAGCAGCCCGTCTCTAGGGCCCTTTCTCCTAGACCTGGGGTTCACTGCCACTCTGGAGACACCATGGCTTCAGACTTTTGTTCCTCCTGTCCCTTTCCTCCAGCGCTTGGCCTCACCCACAGTCCTGCCCTGATACCGTGGCCCACGGGTCTTCTTACGACTGTCTACTCGGGGCCCTGCCGTGATAGGCTAAGCTGGCTCAGCTGGGACCAGCTCAGCAGATTCCTCTAGCCATTACTCAGCTGTCTGGAGCTAAGACACTTCAGACTTCAGTAGCTCCAGGTGAGAACAGACGATGCTCCCTCGGCTCTGGACAGCGCAGGCCAAGTTGGTGAAGGTCCCCAGTGGCTCTCATAGGATGGGGTCTCTGAGAAGCCCAAGTAGTTGAAGACCCAGCTCTCTTGAATCTGGCTTTTGTGATATATCAGTCTAGGCAGAAACCAGAGCCCACTCTATTACGTCTTGCAATTAGGAGGAATTTAACACAGGCGGTGGATTTTACAGGGGAAAGATACAGTCCAGCAATTAACAAGAGCATGGCATTTGAACACCTGGACTGAGGAACCCTGAGATGAGAGACCCACTGGTGGGCAGGACTTGGAGCCAGCCAACAGACACTGGCAGCCTAGCCAGGCCTGTGCAGCGTGGCCAGGGGCCAGGAGATGGAAGCACAGGAAAGACCACCCTCTAGCAGATAAGCAGAGAAGGGCAGGGGTTACCTTGGCTCCTCCCACCGGCCAGGGCCTCCCCTGGATCCAACCTACCAGCTGAGCAGAGGGCAAAAGAGCCTTGGAAATGTTTCACACCTGCCAGCGCAGGAAACCAGGAAGATGGGAGCAAGCCGTTCAGCAAGCATGGTTGCAGTTTCTGCCCTCCCTCTGCCTGAGCCACTGGGAAATCAGAGATGGCCTCTGTCTGCAGCCACTGTGAAGAGCTCAGACGCCACCAGGTTCCAAAGAGACCCCGATTCCTGAGGACTCGTGACAAGCACACAGACAGGGGCTTCTACACAGGGCTGTGGCCATCCCTTCTTACTAGGCCTCCTGCAGGGAGGCAAACAGGCCCTTCAACCTTTATAAACTCCATCTCTTCTCAAGCTCTCCCACGGCAATGACAACTCTGTGGTTGAGCGTAGATGAGCCGAGCGCTGGGAAAGGGGATTTACCGGTGCGCCATTCACTTTCTCAGGGAACCTTGGTGACTAGCTCTCTGTGGCCCTCACTGGTAAGTGCAAGGAGCTGACAGAAAACTGACATCAGTAGTAACCAAGAGGAATGACACCAGGGGGAACCACATGTCCCAAAGATCCAAGGGAGAGAAATTCATGTCCAGTGAAGTCAAGACGTAAACCTGTTTCTTCCCGGGGAGATCCTCCACCCAGGACAGTCAACCCACATTCAGTCATAGGTACAAAGGTGGGCCTGTTGTAGACCACATAAAGATTTCCATATGAAGAGGAAGGCAAGGCTGGGCATGGCAGCGCACGCCTGGAATCCCAGTGCTTCAGAGGCTGAGGAAGGAAAATTGCTGCAAGCGAGGGGCAAGCCTGGCTTAGGACAAAATGAAACAAGCAAAAGTAATAAAAGCCTAACAAAACCTCCGCCCTCTGGCTTAGTCTGAGAAGTCAGCCAGTCTGAAGCCGCCAGTGGCGCGCAGATGCAGGTAGCAGCAGTTGACTCGGAGCCAGGAAGCTGCAAAGCTTCAGATGTGGTAGGCAGCTCCAATCCAATGCAGTCCCCAGTCTTCCCTAATGCCCCGCCCCCAGCCTCTCTCTCTCTGCCTCGCTGGCCCAGCTACCTGCATTGGCATTTCAGTTTGAGCCCAAGGGTGCCTCCCCAAAACCTCCATGGATGAATGGAAGGGCCCTGCTGCCCCCTGGTGGTCACAATTCACATATTTTCTCTCCATTAGCATCAACATTCAACCATTCAAACCCTTTCTTTTTGTCTCATTTCTTTTTTAAAAACTCTTCTTTAGGACTAGGTGGTGGTAGCACACACCTCTAATCCCAGCACTCAGGAGACAGAGGCAGGTGAATCTCTGTGAGTTCGAGGCCAGCCTGGTCTACAAGAGCTAGTTCCAGAACAGTTTCCTGTCTCAAAAAAAAAAATTTTTTTTAAAGATTATCTCATTTAGACATCTATTTTATGTGAGTGTTTTGTCTGCATATATATGTGTACCACTTGTGTGCCCTCAGATCAGGAGAGGGTGCCAAATTCCCTGGAACTAAAGTTACAGACAGTTGTGAGCCACCATGTGGATGCTGGCAATCAAACTATGCAAGAACAAGTGTCCTTAACTGCTCACCCATCCCACAGACTCTTGTTTAGTTATTCTTTTGGTTTTTTGTTTTTTTGAGACAGGGTTTCTCTGTGTAGCGCTGGCTGTCCTGGAACTTGCTCTAGATCTCTGGGTCTCAGGCCAGCCTGGTCCACAGAGTGAGTTCCAGGGCAGCCAGAGCTGTGTAATAGAGAGACCCTGACAAGAAGGAGGAGCAGGAAGATGGGGGGGGGGGGACCAAGTCCAGGGCCTAGACAGTCAACAGATGCATTTGCCATAGTCTCCATAGAATTTTATTGAGGGCCTCCAACTTGCCCAGCCTCCCCACTAGGCCCCCAAGTAATGACTGGGAGGTAGCAACTCCTTTCTAGGGACCCCCAGCTCTTGCCACTGGGACCTGGTTGCAAGTATGGAGGAGCTGTTTTAGGGATTCTTCTGGCAAAGCAGCTCCAAATACTTCGGACAAGGAGTAATGTAAAAACTTGGGTCTACAACTACAGCACCTTGGGTGGCTAGGATCCTGGACAATCTATTCCCTAAATTTTTTTTTTTTTTTTTTTTTTTTTTTTTTTTTTTTTAACAGTGCTGGAGATTGAACCTAGGGCCTTGTGCATGCTAGGCAAGCACTCTACCACCCAGCTTTATCTGTAGCTCGCTCATCTGTTTCCTTCTTGCCTCCCTCCCTCGCTGCCTCCTTCTTCCCATCAGTGTAGCACAGGCCGGCTTCTAACTCACGACCTCCACTTCATCTCCAGCATGTGCCGATCCTGTGTGTTATTGCAACGGGCTCATCTGTCTTTTTAGTCATGATTCCCAAACTTAACTTTCCTGTGCAGCAATTCCCATTCTTGGTGGTGTTAGGAATTAAATGAGAGAAGCCAGGCATGGGGGTGCACATGTTTAACCCAGCACTCGGGAGGCAGAGGCAGGCAGATAAATCCCAGGTCAGCCAGGGCTATCTGACAAGACTTAGTCTCGATAAATAAAATTAAGAAAAAATACCAACCTACCATAAAGACTGATTTGTGTTGGTCAACCATTTCTGAGCATGGTTGATATATCCAATGTCACTTTATTGAAGAAAATTGATTTTTCCTTCCTCCTCTTTCTCTGTCAACCGGATTTCTCTATGCAGCCCTGGTGTCTTAGAAATCACTCTCTAGACCAGGCTGGCCTTGAACTCAGAGATTCACCTACCTCTGCCTCCCAAGCCTGGTGACATGTGGTGCCACCACCCCTTGACTCTGATTCTCTCCTCTCTTGACAGCTGTCAATTTCAAATGGCTTCTTCGTTGGGGTGGCACCTGGCTCGAGCTTGTCCAGCTCTTGTGCCTGCTGTCACAGTCTCCGTGAGTTTGTGTGCACATCTGCCCTGATGTGTCTGTTTGTGCCGGGCTTCCCAAGAGCAGGCTTCCTCTAGCTGGAGATCTCTCTCTCTCTCATTTGGTTTTCTAATCTTGCTTCTCTTCAAGGTCCCGAATCTACCCCCATCTCTTCCTGTGAGTCCCACCATGACCACCTCAGCCCCCCAAATCTTCCCCTTGTCTTAGCACCTCTAAGCCTGGTCCAAGCAAGTCCTATGTTGTCCACAGTACTGAACTCTGCAGGCCCAGAAAGTTGTGTGACCCTAGTATGCCTCCAGTTAGGAGGGGATTTCCTAAAGACGGGGTTTCGGTGTTCCTGCACCTTCTGTGATGCTTATCTATGTGATATGTATTAGACACCTCTAACTTGGGGCTCATGGCAGAGGCTTGCACGGTTCTGAAACGAAGTAGCACGCTCTGTCCTGGTAAAGTGTCGTCATCTATAGGCACATCAGGCACCTAGCCAGAGCCAGGCGAGTTCCCAAAAACTGCAGAGCCCTGAACATTTCGCTCCTCTCCTTTAACTACTTCAGTGGCTCCCAAAGACAATCTGAAACTCTCTGCCTTGCTGGCTTGACTAACCACCTGCCCCTCTCTTATTTATTATGTATACAGTGTTCTGTCTGCACGTTTGCCTGCTGGCCAGAAGAGGGCGCCAAATTTCATTATAGATGGTTGTGTGCCACCTTGTGGTTGCTAGGAATTGAACTCAGGACCTCTAGAAGAGCAGTCAGTGCTCTTAACCTCTGAGGCCATCTCTCCAGGCCCCAACTAACGTGTTTCTTACTGCCTCTGCCACATCCCTGCATTCTGGCTCCATAGTCTTTCAGTTTTGCCATCTGCTGCCGCCTATAGTTTTTGCATATGCCCTCCTGACCACCTAAGCTCAGGTGTTCATTGGGTCTGAGGTCATACATCACTTCCTTTAGGAAGCTTTCCTCGGTCACCAAGTCCAGGTCAGAGCTCAGCACCTCCCTTGGGCTCCAGCTTCTGCCCTATCCCTATCCTGACACCTATACTCAGAACTGAGGGCCGACTTGTCTACCTCCCTGCCCAGACCGTGGGTTCAGAAATGACACAGTTCATCTATCTGATGTCTTGCTGTATACCCAGCAACAATGCCCAAATCTCGGAGGCACCAAGGATGTGCAGCCAACACACAAACACATGAATGAACAAGACACCATTTTCACATCTAGCAAGAGTGGTGAATGAACGGTATACTAGCCAGCGGCAGAAAGCCCTTTATTGCCAGTTCACATCCTGCGCATCACACTAACCAAGAATTCAATCATCTCCCCTTGGATAACACAATCTCCTTGTATCCTAAACTAAGTTGGATCTCAATGGGTTAACGGATTCTGTCTTCACTTTGAGGAACAAGGATACCGTGTGAACTCCTGGGAGTTCTGTTCCATTCTTAGGCAAGTATCTTTGTGAGCGTGCACGTGACAGCCCAAGAGTGAAATAAATAAGACACAGTGCGATGGCTCTAGGCATTGGGGGCAAAAGGCACATTATACAGAGTCCCCTGGAGAAAATCCAGGCCACGCTCCATCTTCTCAGCATGCCTTCTCTCACTCTCCAGTGACTTTTAATCTCACTGCTGGTCTGAGAAACCATAACCCGCATTACTGAGTACATTTTTATTTCCCCTTCAAGAGATAGCCTTGGTCCTAAGTGTATTTCATTTTTCTCCCTTATGCCTACAAGAACATCCAATTTTGTTCAGGTCCCCTTTAATGGCACTTAATAAATACATATTCTGGGACCTGACAGAACAGGCTGTCCTATTCCAAACTGCCTCTAAAGCTTCCTGCTTGGACAGCTAGCGTAAAGCCCAGCTGGGGCACAACCTAACTTACCCTTTCCTGCCTCTGTTTACCTCTGCGTGTCTAGGGCAGAGGTCCTGAAGGCAGCTGCCTGTGAGATTCACCTGGTTACCTTCCTGAAGCCCAAGACCATGGCCATACCCAACCCGAAGACGTCAGCTGTCTCTGGGTGGGCTCCTGGTTTGCTGCAGCCTAGAGCTACCCAGGTCATTGCAGCAAGAAGCCATGCTAAGAACCCCAGCTAGAGTCTCAACATACAGTGAGCTGTCAGGCAAAATGAGTGGAAGCTACAGGTATAGGTCCTGCTTTGCCACCTATCTGTCCCTGCTTCCTCTTTTTACCAGGAGGCTGAGAAGGAAACAGAAAGGAAAAGTGAGCTGAGAACATCTTGGAGTGAACCCGAGATTGGGAAACGGACTGGGGAGTCTTGCTCTTGCGTCAGACAGGCTTCGTGCTTTAACAAGCCCAGGGGAGGCGCGTTGCAGATGGTCTGACACAGACAGGGATGTCTTTCTCAAGAGCCCTTCAGGAGCCAGAGCTAACCAACAGGCACCTGAGCTGTAAAACAGGATGTCGTCTTGAAAACACTGAAATAGCTACCTGTTTTACACTCTGGCTCAAGAGGGTTGATCCCTAATTTGTCAGTTGTACAAAGGTCACAGTGGGTCACCTTTTTCAATCTCGGGATCTTCCAATGACCCTTGACCTAAAGAAAGAGCCGAGGGACATTGTTCAGTAGTAACTACACCCAACGCTGCCCCCAGCAGTAGGTCTGTCATCCTGGAACAGGATCTACTTTTAAGGGGCTCCTGTCTTCTGTTTCCAGATTTGAGAAATGCCTTGCTCACCAAGTACTAGGCACTGGGACTTGGGCCATTTAGACCGTACTCCGGTCGTATGTCATGCAACCATCAGCTACAGACAATCACTGTGCGTTTTATCATGGTCCCATGAGATGATATCACCTAGTGATTTCCTAACCTTGTTAGTTTGCACACTCCTTGAGGTTAATAGAAAACAACATCCCCTAACAGGGCATGTCTCAAATGTTAATCCATGCAGACGGGACCTCGAAGCAGAGCATAGGTTTAAGAGGGCACTGTTGGCACAGACCTGAGAGGTGGTGACAGGACTGCTTCTCTCCTCACCCAGGCCAGCCAAGGACGGGGCCAGCCTGACGCCACTGACCATATCTGCACGGGTGTCACACTTCCTGGTTGACAAGGGGCCTCTGCATCCTCAGTCTCTTGTCCTTTACTGTACCCTGTGACTTAGTTCCTTCTTGGTGGAAAACTGTGCTTGTATCCTATGCCTAAAACCCCACATGCACCTCACAACGGTTCTCTGCTGCTTCCAGACCCTCTGAGGTAAACCTAGGCCACCTGGGTTTCCCTGGTTCTTCAGTCCAGCACTGGGAAACCAAGCTATTCCTCTCCTACCGAACCCACCAAGCCAGCAGTCACCTATCTCACAGAGCTTCCCCTGTGATTGACTGCCAAGTCCCTTTGTGTCCTAGTCCAAAGAAAACAGCAATAGGAAACACCGTTGCCATCAGCCCCACACACCCTGCTATAATCCACCCTCAAATCCCCATCTTCTCTGGAACCACCTCTGGGTTTGTATGCACATTCCAGAACTGTGCGTAGGTCATACCCATTCCCAGAGCCAGTGGAGAACCGCCTGTGCCCAGGGTTTCCCCCTGAGCAGGGTTCTCCACAGTTCACTGTCCGCAGTAGCTCGACTCGAGGCAACAAGAAAGTCAAGGGGACTGGTGAGCAATGGTGGCTTCTGGCAGCGCTGTGGAAGTGGACTACTGAGCCAGGCAGCTCTTCCTCAGTGATGCCCCCACCCACGGCTACCTGGTACACAGGCAACATTCATCCCAGACATGAAAGAGGCAAGAGGCACAGGTGGGACCAGCTTCAAGCTGCGGCAAGTCCTAGCTAAGTCCCAGCATGGAGGTGGCTTCTTTGCACGGATGAGTGACAATTCTGGGACCGCCCACGTGGCCACCCACACCAGGCCTTCTGTAAGGCCTGGGCACCACTTCCTCCTGCCTTCTGAATGCCCTTCGCTCCTCTCCCACCCCATTTGCTTTGCATCAAGCCTGCTAGGTCACCCGGCCTTAAAGCCTCTCCCTTTCCTTAGAAATGGGGGCTCCAGAGAGGGCGGGCTAAGAGGGCAGGCTCCAGCCCCAGGGAGCTGGGCCCGGGGTCCTGGCCAGGAAGTTGGAAGGCACGTATCCCCTCTGTCCATTCGCTTCCACCAGGCTCCATTCTGGGTTCCCCTTCTTGTCCTGGGCTTCTAGGATGGTTACAGGCTGGCCTGCCTGAAGACTCAGTTCGTGGGGGCTCCTGGCCACAAACGGGTACGCTGCCACCACCTGAAACACACGGGGATGACAGGGAAATGGTCAGGATGCTGAACTCAGTCCATCAAGGGTGTCGTCCTTGCACACACACACTAGTCTCTATTGCTGGCCATGCATCACTTTCCAAGCGTTCTTAGCCCTGAAGACGCTATGCCCGCTAGCACTGTGGCTAGTAATTTCTAACATTGTTCTAACCGTTTTCTAGGCTTTGGTTTTTAACAATGCCATCCCTGTAGTTACCCCATTTTTTTCCCCCAGAAATTGAGACTTAGAAAAGTCGGGAACTCACAATTATGACAATCACATAGCTAAACAGTCAGGTCTGTCTGATTTCAGAACAGGGTTTTTTTTTTTTTTTTTTTTTTTTTTTTGGAGATAGGGTTTCGATGTGTAACAGCCCTAGCTGTCCTGGAACTCACTTTGTAAACTAGGCTGGCCTTGAACTCTCAGAGAGCTGCCAGCTTCTAGCTTCTACCTCCCGAGTGCTCAGACTAAAAGTATGTACTACCACCACCCGGTAGAACAGGTGTACTTGAACCCCCTACAGCCACATTTGTGGGTAGCCTCAGCAGCCTCTCCCTTCCCAGATCTAGGGAGCTGGTTTATCTGTCCAGCCCAGTGTTTAACCTGGAATAGTGAGATTTGGGAGACATGGCTCCTTTTTAGGGGGAAAAAAATTGAACCTGAGAAAACAATAAGGGTGATGGTGACACACATCTTTAATCCCAACACTCGAGGAGGCAGAGGCAGGTGGATCTCTGTGAGGTCAAGGCCAGCTTGGTCTACAGAGTGAGTTCCAGGTCAGCCAGAGAAACACTGTCTCAAAGGAAAAAAAATGGGGGTGGGAGAGAGCATTAATCAAACTACTGTCTAACTTCCCTATGCCTCATTGCGATCATCTACAAGTGTCAAATAACATCCTACCCTTTAGGATGTGGGATTCCCCTCTGTATGCTAGCTATGAATACCATTGGTTAATAAAGAAGCTGTTTTGAGCTTGTGATAGGGTTTTGAGCAGAGCTAGGGGAGGGGAGGAGGGGAAACTAAACTGAATGCTGGGAGAAAGAAGGCGGAGTCAAGAGAAGCCATGTAGACCCAGAGACAGACGCCAAAACTTTACCTGGTAAGCCACAGCCTCATGGAGATACACAGATAATGGAGGTGGGTAATTTAAAATATGAGTTAGCATGTTTTTGGCTAACTCTCTATTCCTGGAACTCTGGACCTGGGCACAGCAGGGAATCTTGCATCTACTCACACACTCACACTGCTAATCTAATCACCATTTCCCCCAGGCTGTAAGCTTGTCCGGCACCTTCACTCTCATTTAGTACCGCACCTGGCAAATGCTGAGGGAATGGGGGCCCTCCTGTTTGCCCTGCTGGTGGGGATGATGGACTAACTCCCTGGTGTTCTCAAGGGAAGTCTCTCTCTCTGGGTCCCACCCCTGGCCAAGATAAGAACTCATCACTGGTTACAGCCTGACCTCGCAAAGAGCGACCCTTTAATGGTAGAGGAAAGATCCAAACCCTAGTGTAAGCAGATGAAGGGTGGCAAGCCCTCAGCCCTCTCCCAGACTCACCTGGGTCACGGTTGGGACAGTGGGGACAGAGGGTTGGGTGGGCTCTGGAGTTGGAAGCCAGTAGTCTTCATGTGTGCCTGTCTGGCCTCTGAGCTCCTCACTGGGGATGATATGGCGGTACAGCTGGAGCTTTCCAGCAGGCACATATCCCCGGTGTCCTAGGAAACATGGAGAAGGTTCAGTGGCTGCCAGTCAGCTTCCTAGCCTTTCAGTGGTGGGGAAAGCCAGTAAATACGAGTGCCTGGCTTCCCAGCATTAAAGGGACGGTACAAGATCATCCGGGAACCCTGAGATCTCCCTCCACCGCCCCACCTGTATTCACTGCTTCTATCTGCTGCTGGCTCACCCCTCCAGGGACAGAGGCTTTCCACTGAGACAGCTGGCAGACAAAGTTCATCCTTGGGCTGGCATGACAACTGTTTCCCATTGGTGGCACTATTGCTCGTGTCCCTCTAGTGGCCACCCAGAGCAAGGCTGCTTCCCCAGCTCTCAGGACCAGGGCAGCCTTCTACTGGCGATGCTATCCTTCTGGGCTCCTTCTGGCCAGCACCTACCCTTGCGCTGCCCAGCTGCTGTCATCGTGAACATCCATCACTTCCTGCTTCCCAGGTAAAGTTACAGTCTCCGCACCAATCTGAGGTCAGTCTGTGTCGCTGTCACTACCTCTGCTTCTGCAACTGAGCTCAGCCTGCCTGAGATCACCCAGGCAGGAAAACCCCGGGAACCTTCCTCTAATGTCCTTATATTATATCCCCACAGATGTGTTTTTCAACCGTACCACTTTCTGTTTTATTTATTTCTTAAATTTATTATTATTATTTTAGACAAAGTCTCACTGTACGGTCCCTAGATCTCTCTCTAGACAGTCAGGCTGGCCTTGAACTTGTCATTCTCCTGCTTCTGCCTCCCCAAATGCTGGGATTATAGGTATCCACCACCATACATTGCTCCACTCAATTTTTAAAAACTTGCTTGCTTTCCAAAGCTTGGCCTTATGCCATGGAGTAATATCAATACCATCATGAGTTTGTGAACTATCTGCATTTTTTAATAATACACATAAAATTGCTTAAGTAGCTATTCTATCACTGTGGAACAGCGAAACAACTGCCTGTGGGTCTCCAACAAGAATCCTGTGCAACCCTCGCGTTTACAAGACGCTGCTGGGCTGTGTTGTTAGCCTGGGCTCACACTAGAGTTTCCCTTCATCCCAGTTACGCATGAACCCCTTAGCAGCGCATCCCAAGGCCACAACCAGTGGAGATCTTACTGTCCCGGGCCTAAATCAGAGTCTGAGAGTGCGGCTGGAATCCGATCGTCCCTTCTCATCACTCATCTGTATTTTTCAAGGTACTATTCAAGTTCCTTCCACACATCGTATCACCCAATAGCATGTAAGTTCTCGAAGGCTAGTCTTGCTTGCACAGCACCCAGGAACTGGATGGGGGAGTTAGCCTGAGTCTTATCAACAGTTCATGTACCACTGAGTCACTGAGGCAGATTGAGCCACTGCATCTGTCTCTGGCCTCCTGTCTCCTGAATTTGCAGAGCCAGATTGGCACACAAGAGCATCCATGCCTCCCTATCAGCTCTTGGCAGCTGGCTCTCCCAAAAGGGGACAAAGAGCTTAGAGGTTCACATACCCCCTGTGTCCACCAGCCAGCGACTGCTGTTGCCTTTGGTATCCTTGTTTTGTAGAAGGGCCACAATTTGGCCCCGTGGCAGGGTCAAGTCCAGAGTCCCAGTCCCATTGATGTCGCTCGTCACCTGGTATAGCTTCCCGGGGCCGTATCGGGTCAGGAGAGACTGAAGCTGGTATTCAGAGCCTGGGAGGAGTGGCTGAGAGAGCAGAGAACAGACACAGGAGCTTGTGTTAAATGTCAAGGCTGGTGCCAACATGAGTTGAGAACTGAGAATCTTGTTCCTTTCTACCTGTCACTGAAGGGTTCATTCTGATGAGGACAACCACACCCTCTACTACATGGCTGGCTCTCAGCTTCCAATGGCATTTTAGGAGAAACTTTTGATTAATTCAAGTGTGGATATCTGTCAGTTATAGAACTGGTAGGACTGGGCCCGAAATTCTGTGCATAACCCCCAGCTAGTCATCCCACAGGAAATGCCTTATCCAGGTCTTTGAACCATACCAGGTTGTGGGCTTCATGGTACATCAGGGCCTTAGTCATCTGGCTTCTTCAGAGGCCAATACAGGACCACACTAGCCCCTGGCACAGCTAGCTGTGACTCAGAGTGTTTCCACTCCACAAGTATCAGGCACCTACTATGTGGAAGGCACCAGAGCACGGTTTGTACAGCAAGGACACGATGCACTGGTGCAGCAAGAACATACAGCAGGGGGCGCTGGAGAGATGGCTCAGGTGTTAAGAGCACTGCCTGTTCTTCCAGAGGTCCTGAGTTCAATTCCCAGCAACCACATGGTGGCTCACAACCATCTACAGTGAGATCTGGTGCCCTCTTCTGGCCTGCCAGTATATATGCAGGCAGAGCACTGTATACATAATAAATAAATAAACCTTTAAAAAAAAATACAGTAGAGTTTCGCTCAGACAGAAATTACCATCTTGCTGGAGAGAGAGATTTGGGATCTCAGGTCCTTCCCAAACTGCCTGGCATTTCCGTTGTTTTTCCATTCACTATTTTCAGAAAAAGTTTTACCAAGATGGGGTTCAAATATGATTATATCCCCTTTCGTAAAACCAAGGGGAAGCCAAATGTGCAAATATATTACCATATTCTCTGCTTACACTGTGTGTATATGCCTGCGTGTACTCTTGGCACTGCATGTAGTTATTTTGGACTAGGGAGATGTTGGGTAAAGGGCAGGTAGACACCCATGTCTGTCAGGGATGTCTGGGTATAGAACCCGGCCCTGGCATTGATGCGGAGTCAGCATTAAGAACCAGAATGTACACCTTTGATCCCAGCACCTGGGCAGCAGAGGAAGGCGGCTCTGAGTTCAGGGCCAGCCTTGGCTACACAGTGAGCTCTGTCTCAAAAGTCAGGAGGGGAAAAAAAGTCATTACAAATCACAAAACCAGGGATGCAAGACTCTGTGCCTTCTTTCTCAAATCCATCCAGTCTCAACCAGTTCAGAGGAGAGCAGCACCTGGGAGTCCCCAGAGAAGGTACACAAAGACCGCCAGGACTGCCCCTGTCCAGAGCCACCCTACTTCTGCTGGCTTTTATGCCTGCAGCCAGAACAGGGAAGAACTCAGAGGTCTGTGCTGCCTGCGGGGAGGGAGGATGGGAGGGGGCATCCCTCCCCACAAACTGCAGAGCAGAGGATTGCTTCTTTTTGCTTCGTTTTCATGTGACTTACAGCTGTTTTCTGTGGTAAGAATAGATTGCTTCTCCAACAAGAAAGATTTTAAGGAGAAAGAGAAAGGAGGTTCCCAATGTGCATTTTCTGTCTCCTCCCTTTTCCCCTAGTTGCAGAGTCCATGCCTCCTTGTGAGAACTTGCTGAAGCTTGAGGGTAGAACAGAGGGCCCGAGGAGGTAGCCTCCCCCAGGTGTTTGCCCTCTGCCCTCTGACAGTCCTGGAGACCGCCTTTACCTGCCCCACTTGCTTCTCTGCATCCCCGGAACCTCTGGTCCCTTCAGGGAAGTCACGTGCTGCCTTGAGATTTCACATCTCATGTGTGACTCAAGGCACTTTCTGTTTTCTCAAATCCAGATGTCACCAGATTCCTGGAGCACTCTCTTTTCAAAGCTGCCTCGGACTAAGCCCTAGCTATGTAACAAGTTCAAGACCAGCTTGAGGTATGTGAAAATCTAGCTAAACAAAGAAAAAAAATCAACAGAAAGTAAAATAAAATACAATAACACAGGCTGCCTAGGTATGCTGTTCAAGTGGATTAGGAGATAGCCTGTGTGTGCCTGTGTGTGTGCCTGTGTGTGTTGCCTGTGTGTGTGTGCCTGTGTGTGTGTGTCTTTGTATGTGTGTGTGCCTGTGTATGTGCGTGCCTGCCTGTGTGTGTGTGCCTGTGTGTGTGTGTGTCTGTGTGTGTGTGTGTGTGTTGGGATATGGGTTGGTTTGGTTTCTCCCACACACACACAGAAAGAGACAACAAGAAGAAATGTTTCCATGAGTAAGGGGAAAGAAATAAGAGAAAGGTGTGAACGCAGCTCACCCCACTGCAGGAGAACTGCTGACTTCAGGGGAGGAGAGACACTTACCTGAGTGGTGGGGGGAGGCAGCACCTTCTCAAAGCTCTCTTTAACGAAGCGGAGCTGGCTGCTGTTCTGGCCTAGTGTGTCCTCCAGCAGCTTCCGGAAGTCTGGCTCCGAAACGTGGTAATGAGGCAGCTGGGTGGGAAGATGCTGTCAGCAGAGCCTCTGCAGGAGAAGGGGCCCGGGGGTGCCTTGTACCCACCCTCTAGTCCCAGACATCTGGTTGCTCTTTTTGTCTGCCCACCGTCTTGTCCCCTAAGCTGCTGTGCTCCGATCAAGGGAGAACAAGGGACTTAGGCCAGGCCCTTCTGTCAGATGTGGTGTGCAAAGGCTTAGAACACAGCCGTTCCCCTTCCCTTGGATTCCGAAGAGTAAAGGTACAGGCTTGGGCCTTCTCTGCCCGCCACCACACAGAAACAAAGCCTGCCTGAAAACCAGCCCAATCCAGGAAGGCAAACAGGCAGGAGATGGGGAGAAAGGCAGCGTCCCAACAGTGCAGGTCTATAAGCGACTGTGCTTGAGCCCTGACCCCTCCTGGGGTCAGGTCATTCTGTTCTCTCTACCCCACCTACTTTAGTATGGCTTATATTGCTTATAACCCAGGGTGTTCTGAGCTCTCCCGTGAGGCTCCAACCCTGTTAAGGCTAAGGCTCTCCCGCCTTCTCATCAGACAGCTCTAGAGTGAGTGAGACCCCACAGCCAAGAGATGTGTCCAGCCCTCTGGGTTATTGCCAGACTCCCCCACTTTTATTTGTGAGGGACACACAGGGCCTTTCTCCTGGGCTGCAGAGAGAAGACGGTTTTTGCCCTGCACTGCAGGAGTGAGGCCAGGTGAATGACCCATTGGATACATTCAAGGGAAGATTGGCAGCAATCCTAGGCAAGCCCTGGCCATCCATAGCACAGACCAATCAGGAGACACCCCGACTGCTTACCCCCTTCCCCACCCCTGCCATACACACACTTCTTATGGCTATAAACCTCCCTAGACTGGCATTCCTAGCCCCACCCACCCAAACTGCAGACTGGTAGAAAAGGGAGAGATCGGAAGACAGTCAAAGAATTAGCCAATCAAATTCATTCTTTTTGCACTGGGCCTGAGTCAGAGCCCTGTACAAAATACTGATGAGGGCCAGAAGAAGGAACCACTCATATCCGTGTCCCCCAGCCCCCAGCTGAGGGAAACGTGGATCCCCACTGCTCCAGCAGAAGGCAGGCTCTGGTAAGCACTGAGCAGCTACGTGACTTAAGTTCTGCTGGTGAGGGTAAGGACGGGAAACCTCCCACTCCTCCGGGGCAGCACGAATTCTGAATGCTTCCTAAAAAGACTGGTTCATCTGTCACTGAATGGCAGACACTGAGAGGCCTGGGGGACATTTGAGAGGGATTTCCCGTTGAAGAAGAGCTTGTAGAAAGAGACACGGTGGCACTCAGGCAGTGTATTGGAGGCAGGGACATGGGGCCCTGGATTGAAGAGTTGTCTGGAGTGGAGAGGTCAGGAGAGAGGAAGCAGAGACGAGGGAGAGTCAGGGGTGGGGAGACAGCTGACAGGGAAGCACAGAAGGCAAGGCATAGAAATGGCTCCCAAGGCTTGATTCATGAGCCATTCAGCTCTGACACAGACATTCCAGAGTAAGATGCGAAACCGCCGCCAATTCCCTCCCGGACCAGCTCGTGGTGGTGGCTTGCGTAGCGCTCTTTAAGATCTACTCCTGCCTTCAGCGGATAGATCCTTCTGAAAGACTCTTGAGCCCCGTGTTCAGAGTTCTATCACTGCACAGTCAGGGATCAAAAACAGAAACCCCGTCAACAAAAGTCTGCTGTGCATCTGTGCACGAGCCGCTTTCCCTCTCTGGGCCTTGGCTTCTCGAACATGAAAGGACCACATAATGTACAGGATTGCCCTGAGGACTGAGGGAGACACAGCCTGGAAAGGGGGCCAAGCAGGCAGACAAGTGCTCGCCAGGAAATCACTGCTAGCAGTACCAGGAGGAGACCCAGCTGGATACATCTACTCCTGACCAGATAGAAGAGACTCCTATCTCTGCCACCATCTCGTCATCTCCTTCAGGGATGGGTCTGCTACTGTTTTCCCAGAAAAACCTCCCTTGTTCCTGAGTCCCAGGATGACCTAGGGTGGCCTAGAGTTCAGCCTGGCCTGTCTCCACTAACTGAAGGAGGGAGAAAAGGATTGAGAGACATCTCGAGAATCTCCGCTAGGTCCTAGGGCCCAGTGGCCTATTTATCTCCATTTCTGCCCTGACAACAGCTAGGGCCTTGCCTGACTGTGCTCTACCGCAGCCGTAGTCCCAGCAGCCTTACCAGGGCCATACTGCTCTCTGCCCTTCGCAGGACCTGGTCGGCAAGGTCCTTCTGCAGGACCACGAATGTGCACAGGATCTGGCCCAGCCATTGTGTGACTAGCTGGTTAAACTGCGGGAGCTCGGCCACCAGCATCGAGTTGAGCGCCTGATACGTGTGCCGGGCCGCCTCCTCCTCATAGGTCACACTGCCCACATCCAGCAGTTTCTCTTCCACTCGTTCAAAGTCCAAGAGTTTGTCCAGACGCTTCTTGATCAAGTTCTGAGGGCCAACCAGGGCTCTGGCCAGGCTACACAGTGGGTCCCATACTAGGCCTTTCAGTCGCTGCTTCTGCAGGGAGAGGAGAACTTGAGAGATGAGAGTTAGGAGGTAGCAAAGGGTAGGGGTTTGGAGGGATGCTGGGGGCAGGGAGCTGGGGTTCCAGGCCCCCTCCACTGACAACTTCTAACTTGTAACGTATCCTAATCTCTGCCTGCCTAAACTGTGGGGCACAATCCATGTGGGGTCGGGAATGAACATGGATGTTGAAAAAGATTTGGCAACAGTAAAAGTCTGGGGTGGAACAATGGTCTGTATTCCCGTCAATTATATTTTAAATAAACACTGACTGGCCAGAAGCCAGGCAGGAAGTATAGGCAGGACAACCAGACAGGAAGTAGAGGTGGGTCATTGAAAACAGGAGAATTCTGGGAAGAGGAAAGCTTGGCCTGCAGTCCTGTCCCAGCCACAGAAGAAGCAAGATGTGACTGCCCCGCCAAATAAGGAACCGAGCCACATAGCCAACATAGACAAGAATAATAGGCTAATATAGGTTTTAAGAGTTAATAAGAAGTCTGAGCTACTAGGTCAATTGGTTTATAACTAATGTAGATTTCTGTGTGGTTTCTTTGGGACTTAACGATTGCTGGAACAGGGCAGGACAGAAACCCCGACAACAAGTTTTATGAATATATAATAACCCAAAATTCTGAAATGTTTTATGTGAAATGACATGACAGTCTCAGGATTGATCTTTATAAAATCAAAATTTTCATCAACTCTGAGACTCTTTGAAGATGTTCTGTGTCTTGAGATCTTATATCCATATCAAGTATTAGGCCAAGATATAAAATAAACAGCATATCATCTCATTAGTGCACAGTCTTTACTTTTAATAAATAATCAAATTATATGCATACCAAAGAATTGTTTTAAAATAAAGTTCCTTACGATTTATTATCAGTAAATTATAACGGGTATCCGTTACATATACCTATATATCCAGGTCACATAAATGTTCCTCAGGTAATGGGGTTGATGTGAAAAAGCTTCAGAAGCCTTGCTCTAACCTCGCGGAGTCTTGTCTTATGGTTTGATAATGCAGATGGTATGTAGTGTACACAGAGTGCGGCCCAGGGGAGGTTCTCAATTCCTGGCACTTCTCAGAGTTATTATTATGTAAAGTGCTTGCTTGAAACAGGTTTTGCACAGAATGCTACTTTTTAACTCAGACCTCATCTGTGTAAATGACCCAGAAGATGGCGCTCTCTGGGCCCTGAGCTCCCATTAGCAGAATGGGGCTATTAATAGTGTCTCACCCCAAAGCACATGTCGAGGGGTAAATGAGGTCAAGAATGGAAAAGGTGGGCACGGCGCCTGGTACAGGGTGCGGCTCGCTGCACATCGGTTGGGCTATTTTTATCAGTAAGTGCAGGAATAGCACTCCCTTCCCTACTGGCTATGACAATTGTATAAGTGCCTGACTTCTAAATATTACTCTTGTCGGAGCCACCACCTGCCTATCAAAGGAGCAGGGTGGGGGCGGAGGGGAATAGAAATCCCACTCACAAACTGCAGGAAGGCCTCCAGCTGAAGGTCCCTCGCCAGACCGCAGTACTGTTCGGCAGGACCACCAGGAATATCCAGACTCCATTCATGTGGCCGGAAGCAGAGGAAAGCCTAGGACCAACGAAGACAGGTGGTTAGGTCCCACCATGGCCCGTCTTACTCCTAACCCGCAAATCAGCAGACCTCCCAGGCAGTTTTTCAGGCCCTCTACATAACAACCAAGCACATACACCACTCTGTTCCTGCCCACCCTAGAGGATTAGAAGGGTCTCGCCAAGCGGGAGTCTGCATCTCCTCCCTCTCCTTTGGGGCCCATGAACATCACACCTATCTGTCTGTGTGCCCTCTGAGTGATTCTTTGCCAAGTCCATGTTCTACAGAGTCTATTAATGTTTTTCTGTAAGACAATGAACTGCTCCTATTCAAATCAAGGCATTAAAAAAGAAAAGGCTGGGGTTGAAGAGATGGCTCAGTGGTAAGAGGCTGTTCTTCCAGAGGTCCTGAGTTCAAGTCCCAGCAACCAAATGGTGGCTCACAACCATCTGTAATGAGATCTCACGCCCTCTTCTGGCCTGTAAGTGTACATGCAGACAGAACACTATGTATAATAACTAATTAAATAATTAAATCTTTTTAAAAGAGAGAGGGAGGGAGAAAGAGAAAGGAAGGAAGGAAGGAAGGAAGGAAGGAAGGAAGGAAGGAAGGAAGGAAGGAAGGAAGAAGCCAGGGCAGGGGCTAGAAAGATGGTTCAGTGATTAAGAGCACCTGCGGCTCTTGCAGAGGCCCTAGGTTCGCTTCCCAGCACCCAAGTGGCAGCTCACAACCATCTGTAATTCCAGCTGCAGGAGATCTTTGACCCTTACCCATGAGAACTCCAGTGGGGTGAGAGAAGCTGTCTTTAGCCCCCAGGTTTTGTGACTATGGGTCACAGTGTGCTCGCCAGCCCTCCTGGCTGACACCTCACACCAGAGTCCCTGCAGTTGGTACCTCTACAGCTTGTGGGTCTGCCCTTCGAACTCCGCAGGGTTCTCACCTCCAAATTATCCATGTAAGCATTCACATTGCTCTTCAGCTCCGTCACACACAGAGACACCCACTGGAATCTCTCCTCCAAGTCATCGAATTCCTTGTCCTCTGTCTGTAAGTAAAGCCATCCATGTGAGGGTCAGAAGATCCACACGGGGGCAGTGTGCAGCTGTTTTCCCTACCTCGGGAACTCACGAGGGACAACCTCGTCACAGAGCTCACTTGCTTCCTAGCTGTGTGTCTGTGGGCAGACATTGCATCCTCTGGGAGCCTCTGCTTCTTTGTGTGAAAACGAGATAAGGATGCTTACTTAGCCCTGCGGCTCCACCGCTACCGCTGTGGAAAAAGTACGCACTCAGCCTGAGCAGCTATGAGGAACTGTTCAGACTGACGCTCTGCCCCAAGCCCAGAGCCTAGCTCTCCTATAAGCAAAGAGGCCCCCAATACTGGTGAACCAAGTGGTGTGCCTCTTTGTGGTCCCTCACTCGCAGCTTCAGCCACTTCACTGTTCAAAGGTACCTCACCCTGTGTTCGTCCCTGTATCTCCTCCCACCAGCACGCACTCACCCTGGGTACCAGCCCCGCCTCCTGCTTCAGCAGCTGGCTCAGTCTGGTGGTCTTCTTGGAAAGAGTATGCGTGTTGATGCGGGCCAGCCGCTCCCGAAGGCTCAGTTGCTCTACCTTGGTATACTTTAAAGCTGTGGTGACACCAAAGAAAAGGACATTGTGGGTGACTGAGGCTGACCCAGGAAGCAAACAGCACGGCATCCTCCTGACTTGGAACTCTGCTCCACCAAGTTACATCCAGCAGAACGGTAAATGCTGGGAAATCCAGTACTTGGGTCCTCTTTGTCACAGAAATGAGTCCTGGGTGAAGAGTGTTCCGCCTGCTGTACTTTAACAAGTCACCTCTCCTTGGGGCCCCAGTTTCCTTTCCTGTAAGATGAGGACTCCCATCTTGCAGGATTACTGAGAGGATCACCTAAGACAGCTGCCCTTGATGTACCCTGAAATGCAAGTCCTTACCCACTTCCTTGCGCATCTTGTACTCATTGATATTGCTGTTGACATCCTGGAGGGCAGAGGCAGCTCTCTGAAGGACAGCGTGGGCACGGGCATCTGTGGGTGTATTCTCCAGGATTTTCTGCAGCAGGAGGGGGTACTTGGTAATCCTCTGCAGAGGAATTACAAGTAAGAAACTGAGACCCGAAGGTCCAGCTTGAGGCCTGAGGGAGAAGGTTGCTATTAGGCAGGTAAAGACCATCCTTTAGGGGACTGGGGGGCTTGCGGTAGTGGCCCAGCTCTGTCGCTTAGCTCAGTGTGATAACAGGAAGTCCACTCTCTCCCTGTGGGCCTTTCTGTATCTCATGGTGTCTAGATATCAGGCAGGCAGAGACCTTCCTGGGCTTTGATTCCCCGTCTGTTCAAAACCCAAGTGCTCTGTCAGCCCCGTGCACCCTCTCAGCAGCAAACGTGCTGACCACATCCTCTTCCTCAACAGGGGTTACTCAGCAGGACCCAGAGACCCTGCATCCAGTGTCTTCTCATTCCATAAGCTACTCTTTCTGCCAGATGCTAGAGCATTCTGGAGACCCCTTTCCTCCATATGCTCCCTTGGTGACCTCCAATAGCTTTTAATGAACCCCAAGCCCCCATTTCCATCTCTCTCTTCTCCCCAGGGCTCCAAACTCACCTACCTGTTTCACTGTCCTCAACTATGACTTCATATCTCTACTCAGATAATGTCCCAAGATTAACTCTCAGAGGTCATCCAGTTCATATTTTACTTAGCAAAATAGGTTGTTGCTTTAAGACACTGGAGAACCAGTGGGGTGGCTCAGTAGGTATAGGGATTTATCACCAAGCCAGAGGACCTGAGTAAACCTCCAAAACTCACATGATGGAAGAGAGAATTGATTCCCACAAGTTGTCTTCTGACCTATACACACACATACACATACACACAAACACATACACACACACACACACACACAGAGAGAGAGAGAGAGAGAGAGAGAGAGAGAGAGAGAGAGAGATGCTTTCACGCTAAACAAATAAGTGTGAAATTTGTAATCTAAAAAAATGTTTTGAAAAACTATGGGAACATAATTTTTAAACTATATGGGGAACACTCATCACTTCCTTTAAATAGTTTAACATAAAAATAGATAGGATATTTATATGTTAACTCTTTCTCATTTAAGGTGGTAGGTATGAGAATATCCATCATGTTATCCTCATTTTCTGCAGTTTGGAATTTTTATTTTAAAAAAGTGGTTTTTCAAAAGCACTGTGAGGAATGGTTTTGATGCCCAGGTGACCATCAGACTCCTAACGCTGGATGTCTGGGGTTTCATCAGGATTGCCTAGGTCAAGGGCAACTTGGGAATGGCTCCAACAGGCGTATAAGAATTCCAGCCCCTAATTGTCTCAGTGTGCCTCCTACAAAACTCAGATGTCAGGGACCAGCCATCCGCACTCTATAATGGAGCCCTCGACTCCTTCCTAAGGGAAAACCTCCAGACCAAATGTTCTGCAAAGAAACTGCTCGGAGGCTAAGAATAGACATGGCAGGTGGGAGCCCAGGATGGCGGCGGGTGGACTATGCTTGCCCTGTCCGTCTGCTCTCCCCAGGGGCGTCCTGAGCTCAGCTAACTATGGACAGGCATTCTGGAAACTCCATTCTGAGCTCAGCTAACTATGGACAGGCATTCTGGAAACTCCATTCTAGATCGACATTCCACGGGAAAGAGCCAGCTGCCTCCCAGGGACAACTGCCACACAGTGCAAACCAGAGGCCAAGGGGCTCTTAAAGAGATAACTGCATTCTTTTTTTTTAAAAAAGTCACTAAGGAGCCAGGGCAAAATGATGAAAGTTGCTGACATCTGTAGCGCTCTCTCTCCTCTCTCTCTCTCTCTCTCTCTCTCTCTCTCTCTCTCTCTCTCTCTCTCTCTCTCTCTTTCTCTCTCTCTCACGTTTTGTTTTTCAAAACAATGTTTCTCTGTGTATCTCTGGCTGTCCTGGAACTCACTCAGTATACCATGCTGGAAAGATCCGTCTGTCTCTGCCTCCCTGAGTCCTGGGTTTAAATACGTGCACCACTACCATCTGACTCTGTAGCCTTCTTAAAGTAACTTGGAGGAAAACTGCACACGCCTCTCATATAGATGATAAGAGCAGAATGATAGCCCAGAAGACTGGGGGGAGGGCGACAGAAGAGGGCTTCTTACACTCTCATAGGAATGTCACTGGCTGAGATCTTGGGCAGTTAGGCAATTTTCGAAGCACACAAATCCTTTGCTCCACTAACCCCAGCCTATAGAAATCTTGGCTCAGGCAAACAAGGATAGAGTTGTTCAGCAACTCCATGGCTGAAAAGAAAAACCCATCAATAAAAGAGTGGGTGAGTAGAGTCTGTGAGACAATATTCACAGCTACAATTAAATGAAAGTTCTAGAATAGCACAGGAGTCTCTTTAAGAACAACACCATCCCCTACCTGTCTGTAACTATACAGAAGAAAACTGAACAGAGGACGATGATCCCTCAGCCAAAGAAGAATGGACTTCATGTATTTGAGTATGATTTAAATATTACTTTTATATTCAAAATAAATACGACTAGCTGATACAGGAAACCAGAGGCTGTTTTCCTTCTGCAAACACTGCTATGCCAGGCAGCCTTCTAGAACTTTGACTTCCAGGGCTGCTCCACCTCTGCTCAGTCTCTCCTTTCCCTCACCACCACAAAAGGTCCTCCCCAGTACAGAGCTCCCTGCCTGGTCTGTGTTTCTGTCTTAAAGGGCAGGCTACCCTGAATGCTAACCCAGATGAAGGTGAAATCGTCAGAACACATTCAGGAATCACAGGGACTCTCGAGGCGCGGTCTTACTGTTTGACTACTGTGATTAAACACCATGACCAAGGCAACTTACTGAACAACAAATTGAGGGCTCACAAGTACAATGTTCGAATCCGTGATGGTGGGACAATGGCGCGGCAGCAGGAACAGCCCGAGAGCTCACGTCTTGATCCACAAGTTGGAAGCAAAGAAAGAACTAACTGGGAGCAGTGAGGCCCTGCACACAGACCTGTGCTACAGAGAGTAGCTGGGGTCTCACATGTCCCTCTGGACACTCAGAGCCTAAACGGGGCCTCAAAATGTACTGTGGGTTCAAGAACTGACATGCTTGTGTGACTCTCAGACTCTCTCCAGTCACATGACACAATAATAGATTTTTTTATACACTCTCTTTTAGAGATAAGATGCAGGCTATTTGCAAGGATATTACCTGTTCTCATTTTCCTACCTCCCAGGCCGTGAGCCACTATCTTCTCTTTGGTGCCTCACACACAAGAAAGTCAGGACTACCATCCCTGTGGGTTGCCGCCCTTGGGTACGCGCACCCTTTGCTCCCTCGCTTTTTTATACTTCAGAAGCAGAACAGCCTCAGGACTTTCTTTCCTGACCTCCAAACTAACTTACTGCCCAGAGAGGCGAGCTAATTTTAGAGTGCTTCCTCATAGCTTCTAGGATTGTTGTGCCTGAGTGCACACTGAAACCCACATTACTAGAAAATGCTTTCCTTATCTTCCTCCTTCATATCGTTGTTATATTGTTATATTGACTTTTTCCCAGTTCATATATAGAGGTAGGGTCTATTTCCAGGATTTATTGCAAGATGATAAATACATTTCATATTTGTTATAAAAGGAGGCCTTGGGACTGACAAGACTGAAAAGCTGCAGCGTGACACAGTTCCTGCCCGGCTGACTAGAATAGCTGGGACATATTTAGTGTCCCTTGTGCTGTGTGCCTACACTCCACCAAGTGCCGTTAGGACTCCCATCAGACCCATAAGGAAATTGGGTTTGAGATGTGAAATCACTCTCACAAGAAGGGGCCGAGCCAGATCTGCCACCGTGCAAGCCTGGCTCCAGACCTGCAGACACAGGACAAACAGCCTCATTGTCAGCTAGTCATTGCTTCTAGCATGGCTGGAGAGAATGGGACTCATGGGAGGTGTCCCACCGAAGTTCCTGCTGCCTTGGAAAAATCTGGGCACATGTGAGCCACAGCACCTGTGTGTGGTCAGAGGACAACTGGTAGGACTCTATTGTCCCCTTCTACTATATTCCAGAAAGTGAACGCAGGCAGTCAGGATTGGCGGCAGGCGAGTGCCTTATCTTAGTTAGGATTTCCATTGCTGCGGAGAGACACCCTGAGCACGGCAACTCTTATAGAGAAAAAAACATTCAATTGGGTGGCTCTCTTACAGTTTCAGAGGTTCAGTCCACTATCATCATAGTGGAGAGGATGGTGCAGGCATGCAGACTAGTGCTGGAGTACTACATCTTGCAGGCAACTGGAGATGGTTGTCTGAGACACTAGGCAGTATCTTGAGCATATATGAGACCTCAAAGCCTACAATGACACACTTCCTGCAATAAGACCACACCTACTCCAATAAAGCCCCACCTCCTAATAAGGGCCATTTTCTTTCAAACCACAGCCTGAAACTCACTGAGACACCTTAACAGCCTGGTCAATGTTGGTTTAAGGCATTGTTTGGGGTAGTTATCTAACAGCTATTGACAGCAACAATCTCCTAAGGCCATGCCAAGCTTGATACAGGGTCTGTCACTTCCCTTTTCCCACACTCTCCACTCTCCCTCCCTTTGTGGGTTCTAGCTTCCCTGACTTCTGTGATCTGCCTCTGTCCTACAGAAACACATCTAATGGCCCTGCAATAGCCTACCTTTTCCAGACCTATGAGAAGAAAATATTTTTTCCCTTTTTTTTTTTTTTTTTGGACCTAGGACCTGGTGCTTGAAAAAGAGACTTTGAAGGAGGGAGGTTGAAAAGTGAGAGAAAGACAAGGCAGGTGAGAGAGGCTGGCAGGCTGCACAGGACATGACGTCACTGCACACACCTCTTCAGCACTCTTTCTCTTGGGCATAAGGAGCACTTAAGTGAGGTAAAGATGACTCCTCTGTTCTCCTTCTACCACTCTGGTTTCTAAAAACCGACTGTCAATTTTTCACTTGGCAAACTTTTTAAAATTTTGTTTGGGGGTTTGTGGTTGATTCTGGGGTTTCATTGTTGCTGCCTTTTTTAGCATTTTGTTTTGTTTATAAAAAAGGGTCTTGGGGCTGGAGAGATGGCTCAGCAGTTAAGAGCACTGGCTACTCTTCCAGAGGTCCTGAGTTCAATTCCTAGCAACCCACACGGTGCTTCACAACCATTTGTAATGAGATCTCGTGCCCTCTTTTGGCCTGCAGACAGACATAAAAGCAGACTTTATATATTATGAAGTATATATTATAATGTATACATTATATATATACTGTATACATTGTATATATACACTGTATACATTATAAATAAATAAATCTTTAAATAAAATTTTTTAAAAGGTCTTACTACATAACCATGGCTGGCCTGAAACTCCCTATGTAGACAGGCTGGCCTCAAACTCACAGAGATCCTCCTGCCTCTGCATCTTGAATGCTGGGATTAAAGTGTGCACCAACATGCCCGGTCAAGTTTTGGATTTATGAGATATAGTCTTGCTATGTAGCCCAGGAGGGCCTTGAAGTTGTAGCAACACTTCTGCCTTGGCTTCTTTAACAAAAAAAAAAAAAAAACACACCGACCTCTATATAAGGAGCTAGAATTAACTAATGGCTGCCAAGAGAGAGAAAAAAATCAAACTTTTCTAGGTATGGGCCACCTGATAGGTTATCCAATCCCAAGATGTCAGCCCTTGTTTATACATATGATTTCAGCTCATATACATATGAGCAACACTAAATATATTCAGTAGGATATACATATGTGCATATATGTTATTGTTACAAGTGTGCGGCATAAATGTAATATGTATGTGCAGATATATGTGTGTAACAATAATAATTGAAGAAGAGGTCATGAGTTTGAGAGGGAGTTGAATGAGACCCAGAAGGAGATGAAGGCAGGGAAAGATGGGGTGAAATGATGCAAATACAACATTCACGCATAAAATTCTCAAAAAAATGTAAAATTTTTAAAAAAGGACTAGTAAATTTGTGATAGAAGGAAAAAAGTAAGATGAGAACCAATAATAAATCAAATAAGCAATTAGAAATCTGTTTTGTTTTGGGTTTTGTTGTTATTGAGACAAAGTAGCTCTGGGTAGCCCTGCCTGTCTTGGAACTCACCCTGTAGACCATGTTGGCCTCCAACTTGGAGATTTACCTGCCTCTGCCTCCCAAGCACTGGGATTAAAGGCGTGAGAAATCTATTTTTCACACACACACAAATTCTTAATATAGAAAATATCACAGAAATGAAACAGATTCACAAGAAAATATTCATAAAGGACTCTTAAATGTCCAAAAAATGGCCAACTTGCCATAAGATAAAAGGAAAAGTCAAAGACCTCATCCTGACCTAACCCAAAACAAGCATCCTAAGGTTTGGTGGCACACTGCTCTGGAAAGGCCGTGGGAGACAGGCACCTGCTGCTGACAGGAATCTAAATGGACCTTTGCAGGGGAGGTTTTAACTAACGAAATTCTTCATACATATCTCCTCTAATCTATCCATCCTATTTCTGAAAAGTGTACCTTGTGACTGCAGATCCTGAAAAGAATTCTATAGCCCCCACTTATAACATTAAGAAAACGGAAAACAAACCAGGGTCTACCCTCCAACACAGTTCAGACAAATTGGTATGACCACCTGGTGGAAGAGTATGCTGAGGGTCAATCTCCAGGAAAGAGACAGATATACTGGCTTCTGTTCAGAAGTTTAACCAGTCATGGTGATATGCATCTTTAATCCCAGCACTCAGGAGGTAGAGGCAAGAGAATCTCTGAGTTCGAGGCCAACCTGGTCTACAGAGCAAGTTCCAGCACAGTCAGAGCTACACAGAGAAAGAAATTCTGTCTTGAAAGATACCCCCCACACACAAAAAAGGAGAAGAAAGGACATAAAATAAGATCATATATTGGTAACTACTTGTACAATTAAAACAGCACTATCCAAAACTGACAGGAAACGCACAGGGACACAGGAGACGTGGAACCGTGTCTGAGACTGTGTGAGCACTGCTTGGCAGTATAGAGGCCTGGCTGCTGGCACAGGCCCGAAGCAGCCCGAGCAGACCCGAGCAGGATCAAGATTTGAACTGTCCCTGGACTTGTTACTCACACTGCTGCTTCGATGATGCCCTGGATGGCCTTCTGCAGTTCCGGCTCCTTCCGGTACGCCTTGACCAGCTGCAGGGCTTGGTCATAGTTGGTACAGTAGACTTTATAGATGTGTTCAAACTCCTCGTGGAATTCTAGGAATAAGTTACCTGATGGCGAACAAGCAGCAAGAGTTACCAGGGGCAAGTGCGCAAGTCCCTGGCTTGGAGTGGGGAGGCAGGGCCTGCTCGGTGGGGAGGCTACCAGCGTGTCACTAGTACAAGCTATCTAGCCTTCCTGTTGCTATTTTTCAGGTTTCATAAAGTTGCTGAGTGGATGAGTAACAGCCCAGACTCTTCTTTTGTTTTTGGTCTTAGAGACAGGGATTTTCTGTGGAATAGCTCTGACTATCCAGGAACTCACTCTGTAGACCAGGCTGGCTTCAAATGCAGAGATCCTTCTGCCTCTGCTTTAGTGTTGGGATTACAGGTGTGGGCCACCACCACCTCCAGGCTGAGGCCAGGTTCTTAAACAGTAGGTCACGACCCCAGATGGGGCTGCCTGCAGACCTGAAAGTGGGGTCTGGAAATGTTTGGGAAGAGTGACAAGTTTCCAAACACAGGGCAACCTGAGATTAATTCTAAAGCAGAACTGTAATGAATCCGAGGCGTTTCCGGACACAGGCACTCATGTTGCATCATGAAACGTCACTGCAGCCTTGGTTTTGAACACTCAACATTCCTACTTGGTCCTGGCCGGAATCAGCGTGCCACACAACTCCCGTGAACACTGCCTGCCACACTTGGGCTCAGATTAGAGACAATTGCGCCACCGGCGCTGCCGGAATCCTCACCGTTTGAACAAAGCCTTCTGCTCTTAGAATTTAGTTCTGGAAAACAAATACTTGTGCTATTTTTCTACTGTCCCTCCATGTGTATCAAATTAATGTGCCTTTGGATTGCATTGGGTTAGAGCACCTGACTTTTCTGCTTGAGAGGGCTAGAGAAATGGCTTAGTAATTTATAGCGCCTGTCATTCCTTCAGAGGGCCTGAGCTTGGATCCCAGCACCCATACTGGGTGGCTCACAACCACCTGCAACTCCAGCTCCAGAGACTCCAGTCCCTCTGCTGGCCTCTGGGGGTACCTGAGCGCATGTGGCATACATATACATATACACACATACATACACACACACACACACACACACCATACACACATAAATAAAAAATTAAAATAAGTGAATAGAATTAGCTGCTTGACTTGAGTTTCATTTTTAAAAGCTGGGTTTCATTTAAAGTTTTGGCTTTGAATTAGGACAGAACTTCCAGCAATTTTTTAACGACCCTAAATACTCCTGCCAACCTTAGACCCGTTTGCCTCCGCCTCCTGAATGTTGAGGCATCTTAACAGTTGCTTTGGCCTGTTGTCGTTTCAATATTCATTTCCTGATGATTGGCAGGTTGAAAGCCTCACATATTAATGGAACATTTCCATGCCCTTTCTAGCTAAAAAGCTATTTACGTCATTTAAAAAAAATTCTTAAAAAAAAATAAAAAAAAAATTCTTCTGTCCTACAGGTAAATTGCATCAAACATTTCTTTAAAGAAAAAGAGTATCTGTATTGAACACGTGAGGACTTTTTTTCTTGACGTCATCATTCCCTGAACAATATGGTATAACAACCTTCCGTATGTCACCTACACGGTGCTAAATGTCGTGACTGGTCTAGAGAGGATTTCAAGTATACAGAACTTCAGAAGGCTTACGTTAATACTATGTCATTTTATACAAGGGACTTACTTGAGGGGGCGGGGTGTCATGGAAAACCATCGCTTACAGAAACCACGGGATGATTATATATTCCAAGGGTCAAAGTTAAAGGCAAATAAACATCAAAGACTGGGTGGTGGCGGTGGAGGAGGGTGTCTCCCTGAAGAAGGCTTCCACAGATAATGTGACCATCTGCCAGAGAGCAGAAGTAGCCAGCCCCAGAAACCTCAGTGGAGGGGCAGCTCCCAAGCTTGTGGATGGCAAGGGCAAGGGTGACCCTGGTCCGAGGACAGCCACGGACTCTGGTATGGCTGGAGCAGAGTGGGCCAGGCACAAAGGGAGGGAAACCTGACAGCCACTAAAGCCAAGCCGCATGGGGCATCAGAGTAAGTGGGGTGGCCGGCGCTCGGTTTTGTATTCCAGTGGTGGCAGGAAGCCGTGGGAGAGGGTAGAGCTGGGGTCTCACCTAAGTCTCATTCAATAGCAGCTACAGGAAAGCTGCACAGGGAAGATGAAACAGACCCAGGGCCATAGCCTAACGTGTTCTGTGTCTTCCAATACGAAACCAGTTACTTATAGGGAGCAGGGGGAACGGGTGGGAAGAATAAAGGAATAGGAGTGGTCCTCTAGGGATAAGCGAAGATGACTTTATCAAAGTTAAGGTTAGAGGAGGGCTGGAGAGTTGGCTCAGTGGTTAAGAACAATGGTTGCCTTTTCCGGAGTGACCCAAGTTCAATTCCCAGCACCCACATGGCAGCTCACACCTGTTTGTAACTCCAGTTTCAGGGACCCAACACCTTCACAAAGACACACATGCAGACAAAACACAAATGTACATGAAATAAAAATAAATAAATTATAAGAAATTAATAATGTTTGGGATAATTCTGATTCTTGGCACCGTGGTTGTTTTTTCTATAAGCCTAACAGTGCTCTAAAAAAATAAAATCTATTAATTAAGAAAAATCCAGGGGTTAGAAAGATGGTTCGGCAATCAAGAGCACTTACTACTTTTCTAGAGAACTGGGTTAAATTCTCGGCACCCACATGGGGGCTCACAACCCTCTGTAAATCCAGTTCCAGGAGGTTCGATGCCTTCTGGCTCCCTGCAGGCACTGGGCACACAAGTGGCACACAGACATGCATGCAGGCAAAATATTCATACATATAAAAAAATAAGTCAGGTGGTGGGTGGCGCACTCCTTTAATCCCAGTACTCAGGAGGCAGAGGCAGGTGGATCTCTGTAAGTTCAAAGCCAGCCTGGTGGTCTACAAACCAAGTTCCAGGACTGTTTCACAGAGAAGCCCTATCTCGAAAAACCAAAAATAAATAAATCAGTACCATGTTGAGACTAAACTGGGAAGTGCTGTGGTTTCAACACATCTTCCCAAATTCATGCGTTAAAAGCTTAATCTTGAGGAAGAGGTAAGTAGGCCTTGAGGATCAGACACTCTACAGGGCCCTGCTGCCTCTGCTGTGCCCTGACTTCCCCTTCGCTGCTTTTCCCTGGGGCTCTGGAGCCAGTTCTGACAGAAGCACAAGCTGCGAGCAGAGCCCAGGGAAAGCAAGACAGTGAACACCAGGTCTTTTGCTTACCAATCAGGTCCGCCTGTTCCTCTTCCCTGCAGGCTGTCTCCTGCAGTCCATGAAGGAATCTGCTGCTCACTTGGATGATGTCATCAATGTTCGAGAACAGGACGTCCAGATCTCCAGGTGGCAGCTGGAAGTAACGAAATCGCTGTGGGCGAAGACTGGGTGGGGAACAGTCCTGAGCACTTGCATAATCTGGGGTCCTACTGTTCTTGGGAAGACTGACTGCCCAATGCAATGCTTGGAAAGATTTGGGAATCTTGTAAGTTAGGCCTCCTCGTTAGTCTACAATAAAAGGAGACATCATGTCCAGCTCAGAAGGAAAGCTGATGGTGCCGGGAATGGAGTGGGGGAGGGAGGGTTGCAGGTAGGCAGAGGTTAGTGTTGTGATTTGAATGTGGAATGTTCCCGGCTGATGAGTTTAAACACTTATTCCCCAGCTGGGGGCATTCTTTGGAAAGGTTATATTACCTTCAGAGGGTTTACCTTACCGGAAGAAATAGGTTATTGGAGGTGGACTTGAAGGTTTTATGGCCTGGTTCCTGCTCCTTTTTTGCCTATCCAATAGCTCATTTAATTCTGCACTTTCTGTTCTTTAAGAGGACGCAGATTCCTAGCACCCACATGGTGGCTCCCAACTGTCTATAACTCTGGCTCCTGGGGATCCCACATCCTTTCTGGCTTCCTCAGGCACCAGGCACACACAGAGAATACACAAACATAGCAAACACTCATACACATAAAAATAAATCCTAAGGGGGCTGACAGATGGCTCAGAGGTTAAGAGCATTGCCTGCTCTTCCAAAGGTCCTGAGTTCAATTCCCAGCAACCACATGGTGGCTCACTACCATCTGTAATGGGGTCTGGTGCCCTCTTCTGGCCTGCAGGCATACAGACAGACTATTGTATACATAATAAATAAAATAAATAAATAAATCCTAAAAAATCCTATAAAATTGAATTACAAAAGAATACAATGATATTTTTATACCATTTTAAGTAATTTTACTATTTTATGTTGGCTAGGCTCACAGCTATCCTCAAATAACCAATAGGCTACAAGTTGAACACATCTGAGTCATTCAAGGTCTTGCTGAAGGTTGCGTGGCCAATAAAGCCCTGGGCTTATATCCAGGCTTGTCAGGCTCCTGCCCACCACGGGTCCTTTTCCAACAAGCCAGCCCAGGAGTAAGGAGCGATCTTAGAGGCAGCCCGCACCTGCTCCTAGAAAGATACGTGGTCGGGTCTGCATCAGTACCTGGTGCAGATGGCTCCTGATGTCAGAGGCACAGAGCCGGAGCGTGTGCAAGTAGGAGACCTCTGTGTCAATGAGCTCTCTGATGGCCAGCTTCTGATGGAGCAGTGACCGGTCCTCCGAGCTCCTGTCCCCCGGCTCAGGACTCTCTGACCTGGAGGAGAGCTCATCTTCTCCAACGTCAGCCATGTCCACTGGTTCTGGGAAAAAAAACAAAGCAAAACATCCACTTGTAAGGTAGGTCTCCTCATGACGTCGCCTGGAAAATGCTGTCCGTCTCTTGAAGACTCTGGGCATGGTGGCAGGCGGATCTCTTGAGTTTGAGGCCGTCCTGATCTTCATAGTGTGTTCTAGGACAACCAGAACTACACAGAGAGACCCTGTGCTAGGATAAAAGGGCATGCGCCACCATGCCCAGCTTTGCGAGGTGATTTCCAAAAGTTCTAGGACCATCTTTCTGAACCTCTCTCCAGTGCTGCCACCCGTTCACATTTGTCCAGGGTGTGCTTCCGGGTTAAAGTTCTTGAAGCAAGCTGTGATCCTGGTTCATTCTCTGATGCCCACAGCATTCATAGCTCCCTCCTGCTCAACCTCATTCTCCCCTCCAGCTGGGGGGGGGGGGGGGCTTGTCTCTATACCCCTGTGCTTCAGCACCTGCTGTGCCCCTCCCAGCCTCTAGTGGCCAGGATTCCTCCTTTCTAAGCACATTCCCGATCCTCTCTGGTTAGCCTCTGAAACTCCTAGATTTTAAAACTATATAGATAGGGCAGTCATATAAACAAAAAGACCTAAAAAATCTTTCTACTACCAAACGCTTAGAGGTGCCAAAACGGATGTAACTTCAACTGCAGGGCTGGGCTTACAAAAACATGAGCAAAATCTCCAGGGAACAGAATCAGAGCAGGGGTGAGAGGGAGCTGGTGCCATTGTGGCCCACAGTGGAGGGGGACAAGGAAATGATCAGAAGGCAATCTCAGCCAGCCGGGAACTTACCAGAAAACAAGGTCCTTCCGTGAAATGATGAGTGGGGGGGGGGGGGGGGGGAACATCCACCCACCAAAGAAATAAGTCAAGAATGAGAAAGATGATGAATATTGATAGACATGCTGGAGGGGTGTCAGAGGAATCCTCAGGGAAGGGGAAGGGACACTAGAATTGACAGCTGGCTCCAGGCAAATGGAAAAGAGTCGGGGCTAGAGAAGGGTCGAAAATATCTTGAGAACAGAGTTACTAAAGTAGTATGGAATATGGTCTTTAAATTGGGGGGCATTTACACAGACAATCCATAGAAAACTAAGAAACCAATAAGACCAAAAAAATTTATAGCAATTTTTGTTCTATTTTATTTACAAATTATTTTCTTCTCTCTTCTTACAGGTCCTCTGCGTACACATTATGGCTCCCAGTTTAATGTTTTCATGGAACTCCTGAGTGTGTGAACGAGCTCTCTCTCCCTTCTGCTTTCTTGTTTTATCCTATTCCAATGTATTGGTAGAGTTTTTTCTTATTATTATATTTTATTTTATTGCAGTATATTTTATTACTATTCCTTAGAAGCTTGTTTGTTTTCTAAAGAGAGGCAGGAAGGGGGTGGATCCGGATGGGAGGGGAAGTGGAGAGGAACTAGGAGGGGATGGAGGGGAAATTGTAATCAAGATACATTATGTGAGAGAAAATAAAATCAATTTTCAATAAAAGGGGGAAATATTGATACTCCCAAACAGGCATATGACTTGTTGGCTCCTGTTTTGTCTTCTTGGTCCTAAAAGTGACTGTGTGAGAGGGGACTATGACGGCTCAGAGTCCAGGCCTGGAGCCAAGAAAACCTAATTTCAAATTGTTTTTTGTTTACTGTTTTGTGTTTAGACTTTTTGAGTCACGGTCTCATGTGGCCCAAACTGACTTGACTTCTCACATAGCCACTCCTCTTGATCCTTCTGTTTCCACCTCCCAAGCATCAGAGTCACAAGGCCATGTTCCACCATGCCCAGCAACTGGTTGGAAATTTTGATTCTGTGATCAATTTGCTGCCTTTCCCAGCATGCTTATCTAACCATCCTTATGGGGTTCTTAGAATATTTCATTTGCGGTTGTCTAACACGGTGCCTGGAACACAATAAGATCTCACTGGTTATTTGCTATTTTTTATTAAGCTAGAAAGCTAGCTAGTTATTATCATTGGCCAGGAGGATGAAAAGTTACGTATGGATACTTGCTGGCTGATCTAGGTCCAACCAATCAAACTCAGTAAATGGATTCAGAACTGCTAATCATGACTAAAATAATTATCATCATCGTCATCATCAGTGATGATGATGAGAACTATGGGTTATAACCTGAAATTGCAGCTATTGTCCCAAAAATAGAACTGAGAGACTGACAGAGACTGAGTGCTGAGGCTGCAACTCAACCCAGTCATAATGGAGACTGATTCTTTGGGGGTTTTATTTTCACAAGAGCTAATATATTTTTCTTCTCTCCCTCCACTTTGGCTTACAGCACTCGGGATTGGATTTCTGCCACATGATTAAAACAAATGATTTTTTTAGCCCTTGGAAGGAAATAGGTCACTGGGAGTCAGCACAGACTAATAAAAGGGTTTTAAAAACAAAACCCACAGAAGACAGGCCATACCAGACTGCCCTCATTCCCTTCCTGACAGTCAGCAGCATCAGTAGATCAAAGGAATGCTGTAGGCTATGTAGTCCAGCAAGCCGGCCCAGGGAGGTCTTGTGATTCTCTCAGGACATCCTTAAAAAGAAGAAACAAAAGATGTGATTGTGGAAGCTGGGGGAATATGCACTGAAAGGCAGTCATGCACACTAAAAAGCTGATAAAGCTTGCCAAACAAGCTGTACCCCCGGTGCAATAATGGCATGGCTGTTAGAATGAGTAACCAACTGATTTTTGATTGCATTTGAGGTCTGCCCAGGAGGAACTAACGCCTGGCACTGTAATCCTGTCAAAGGCCATATGCCCTAGTGGGGAACCTACTACTTTGGGTTTATTGAATAGACAAGTTGTCAAACTGCCTTCTAAATATTTATTACCATACCTTAGTGTTGTTCTCAACCTTAGCAAGAGAGGCTTCCTTTTACAGTGGGCCAAAGTTAAAGCCTGCTGAGGACAAGCAACTGTTGAGTCCCACATTTTGCAGAGATCAGGGAGCGTGGCAGAAAAAGGGATGGAAAGAGTGTAAGAGCTGGAGGTGGGGGGGGGAGCGGGGTGTGTGTGCTGCGAAAGGTGTCTTCCAGACATGACGTGTCCCAGTGACACTCACAAATTCACAGCTGGGGTTACCTGCCCAAGAGCAAGACAGTCGACACTGCAGCATGGGTTGGGGAGGGGATCATGAAGCCCCACCCTTAGCTAAAGGATTGTGGCCTGGGGAGGGGTGTTTTATTTCCAGGGGTATGGCTACATATCTATGCACACACAGGCAGAACTAACTGAACTCCGTGGAGTATTAAAAACGGGGAGACATGAGGTAGGAAAGGGGTCTGGGGTCTAGAGAGAGTGGAATGGGGAGTTAGGTGTGTATATGATCAAAATACATTGTATGCACATATGAGATTGTGAAATCAATTTTTTAACTCTTAAAGAAAAAACTGCTAAAAAAAAAAAAACAACAAAACTTATTTTTGTGCTATTTACCAACATCCACTAATCTCTACAGTGTTTCCTATCTCAGAGACCATCTGAGTTCAAATTCCACCTTCCTCCTGGAGGAGCAAGGCGGGCTCCTGACAGAATGCCTGGCAGCAGCAGACCATGATCTTTAAAACGTGACGACTAGGACTCACCTTTGAGAAATATCTGTAGTAGAGGCTGGAGGGATAGATGAGTGGTTAAGAGCACTGGCTGTTCTTCCAAGGCACTGGTTTCAACTCCCAGCACCCACAGGGCATCTCACAACTGTCTGTAACTCTAATCCCAGGAGATAAATGTCCCCTCTCCTCAGGCACAAAGCACACATGGGGTGTACAGGCACACATACAGCAAAAACACTCATACGAGTAAAAATAAAATTTAAAAATAGACATATCTTTAATAAAATCTTAAGGGAGGAATGAGGTTTGAGCTGTATACTCAGGGGTAGGTTTTATGCTTAGCCTGTACAAGGCCCTGAGTTGGATGCCCAGCACACACACACAGAGACATGCACAAAACAAACATTAATACATGTGAATGTGGACATGCACAATGATAAATATTTAAAAAAAAAACTAGACCAGTGTTCTTGACTCTGATGCCCTTTCTGAAGAATCATGCCTGTCCTCAATAATAAATTAACTTATTTGTTTTATTATACAGTAAGTCATTCAACAAAATACAAACTTCGCCAGGTCAGAGGATCGTGTCTTATTTTTTCACTAGCATGTTCTTACTGTCTACTCTAGAGTTAGCACATAATACGTGCTCTGATAATAAACTGAATGAATGATACAGATGAACGCAAAGAACCGTGACTCCGTTGCTAGGGATACTGCTGCCTGCAGAGTTAGGCTAATATGACCTTATGCAAATCTTTGGTTCTTCTTGGAAAACACTGAAGAATCCGAGGTCAGAAAAGGAATAGCAATTCCCCTTGAATTGTATACAAAGGGAACCAGACGTTATGTATTCTCTATGGTTGTCTCTCTCTCTCAGAAAACTTACGTTGTGATCTGACCAAGCAGCAGCACGTAGTATTACCTCACCGCCCTTCACAGGTACATAATATTCTGCTATGGACATACATACGTTGCTGTGGATATACATGTTACGGGTATATGCTTGTCTGTACAATATGACAATATGATCACCAACATACTGGATGAACAACTGGTTGTTTCCTGGTACCTAATTTTTTCCTCTGTTACTACAGAGCTGGACTTGGTAGTGGAAGGTTTGGGTCACATGGTAGGGTTCCTTAACTTACACGGAAATGTCCAGCGCTTTGTAAAATGGTCTTCCGGTTGACATCCCCGCTAGCAGTGTGAGCTCATCTACTCTGCTTCCTGGTCACCACTGGCACGGTCACAGTCTTTCTCACTTCTCTGAGGTTGATAACCGTGAGTACCCGCTCAAGCACTTAACTGCCACCCATATATTTTCTTGAACAACATCTTTAAATTTAAATTATATATTAAATTTATAAAATTATAAAATAAAACGAAAATAATTTAAAGTTGTGCTATTTAAATTACAAGTGAGGCTATTGCTCATCATAGAAGTAAACACCACAGAGGGGTGTAAACAAGAGGGCACAGCCCTCCACGCTAACCACCTAACCACCGCTTGCAGCACACAGGTAACCACAGAGAATGAGAATCTTCAGAAACACACATGTATTAGGCACAGAACTTCCCCTAAAAGGTTTTGAGTCAGTGGCCTGGGCTGAAGCATTTTAGCATATGTCCAGGAGTTTTTTGATGCAAATATTCTACAGATCATTTCTTGAGAAATTCTGTTCTGCTGGGAATGTAGTAAGTGGGCCTTAGGGAGGAATAGGGGGACACACCGCCATCATCAGACAAGGAGGAGCCTTTTGCTGAAGCAGGAAGCCTTTTGCTATAGATTGTCCTCTATGGAGGACCTAAAGCTGAAGTCTAAAGGTCTAATTTTAAAAAGAAAATTCAAAATGTTAGAAACAACTGTGGGCTGGAGCAATTGTTCAGCTATTTAGAGAGCACTGATCGCTCTTCCAGAGGACCTGGATTCAATCACCAGCACCCATGTGTCAGTTCAAAACTGGCTTTAAAGCCAGTTCCAGGGAATCTGGTGCTCTTTTCTGGCTTTGTGTGGTACACAGACATACTTGCAGGCCATATACACAAAATAATAAAAATTAAAAAAAAAAAAAACAACTGTAAAACAAAACCATAGTACAAGTACCAAAATAATCATATCGAAGAAAAAGGACCCCTGTGAGTTAAGAAAACAGGGATGTGAAGGTGGGAAAGAGCAAAGACATCACATGCATAGAGTGCATGCGCGTGCACGCATACACGCGCACGCGCGCGCGCGCGCGCGCGCGCACACACACACACACAAATTTCCTTCTCGTTGTAAATGCATGGGCAGACAGGTGGTATGTGTCTTAACCCAAATTAAACAGCAACAGCTATTTGCCCTTCTCTGGCTCTCCTTGGAAGGCTGAAAGGTAGAGAAAGGAGGCCATGCGGTATTTTTTATTTTTAAAGAACAGGTCTTTTTATAGACCTGTGGATCTGCCCAGACGGTGACTTCACAATCCGAGGTCCACAGATTCAAAGTTCTCCAGCCCATCAATAAACAAATGCCAGGCTGTGGCGCGGCAAGCTTGATAAATGCCATGCTGCTTTGGGGACAGCACTCGGACACACCCCCCTCCTCCGTAGTTAAATAAAAAGCCATTGATTTGAGCTGGAGCAGAATCAACTGAGGCACTGTTTACCACAGTAATCCGCTGAGCCAACGGAGCTGCAAGCCAGCTGTTGGTGAATCCTGTGCCCCGGCAGAAATTCAATGAGCCCGTGTGTCTGAACAAGAATGGCGCTGCCAGGTCCCAGTTCATGTCCTCTTTCCCTCACTTAAAAACACACCATAAGTTTCTGGCCCCATTTGAAAGAGGAGAGCAATGCTTAAGAACCATCCTTGTTAGAACATCCGGTGGTTTCCATTTGCAGTTTTGACTTTGGGTCATATAGTGAACTGAGGGGCTGGAGAGAGGGCTCAATGATTAAGAATGCTTGCCGCTCTTCCAGAGGACCCGAGTTCAATTCCCCTTGGCAAAGTCATGCAGCTCCTGACCACCTGTAGCCATGGGGATAGGAGGCATCTGATCTGAGAGAGTACCTGCACTCAACATGCTCATACCCACACACAGGCACACGCATGCATATAGTTAAAATAAATACAAGTATTTAAAAAATAGTGAATGGAGCCGGGCGGTAGTGGTGCATGCCTCTAATCTCAGCAGAGGCAGGCAGATATCTGAGTTCGAGGCCAGCCTGATCTACAGAGTGAGTTCCAGGACAGCCTCCAAAGCTACAGAGAAATCTTGTCTCATAAAAATCAATCAATCAACAAATAAATAGTGGAGTACAACACTGTACCTTTATTTAAGGTCCTCTCGCCAAGGTGCGTACTGGGTTTTGCTAGTCACTATATCGTTGATTTTATTCCACTTTCATGGGTACATTTTTGTCTTTGGGGTGGTACATGTGAGTGGGGGCCCGAGGTCCTGGCAGGATATCTTCCTTGGTCTTTCTACACCCTATTGATTGGCAATCTCCCACTGAACCTGAAGCTCACCTATTTGGTTAGGGTGGCTGGCCAGCAAGTCTCAGGGAACTCTTTATCTCTGCCTGCCTCCACCCTTGGGCTGAGTTACAGACTCCCCCAGAAGAGTGGGGCTTCTTCTTCTGAAACATGGGAGTTCAGAAGTGTGTGTAGGGGATCCGACATCAAGCCTTCATGCTTGCCGGGCTTTACCTGTTGCGCGATCTCCCCAACTCATGTACACACGTTTTAAAGTTTTCATCTTATTTTACTTTGTAAACAGTCCAGTTCTTTCCAGGTCGTCCCTAACTGGCACAGCCGTGTTTGACTGGATTATCAGCATCAGCCCTTCTGTTGAGCACGAACTGCGTGCCAAGCAACCAGGCTTTCCACTCAAAACAACGTGGAGGGCAAGGCACTGGGCCTGGAAAAAGGTGAACTGGTCTTCCCAGTTCACATGGGAGTTCAGAAGGTTGCCTACTCTGGCACCGGCTCCCTCTCTGCTATGGAACGAACTGTTCGCAGAAGTTCTGCCCCGAATGTTCAGTGGACAGTTATTCCTCGGGACCACTGACCTCCAGAGGGCCAAGAGTCCGCACCTGCGCCAAAGGGGCGCTTTTCCACCTCAAATTGGCCAGCACTCAGAAGCCTCAGTTCGCTTCCTGGACCCAGTTCTGACAGCACTTCTCTACCGGGCCAATACTCCCTTCAGTCCATCTCGGATTTCTGATCTTTTCGTCCCCGGCCTTGCCGATCTACTCAAAAGTATAGTTTTCAGCCTGGATTCCTTACCGTTGTTTGAATCTTTCCTTTGTCTTAATGAATGGCTTCTTATGAAAAGCCGCCTCACATCCGACACAGGCAACGAGATTTTTTTTTTTTTAAAGAATAAGTAAATACAGAACAGTAATTTGCTCTAGCCCAGCTTACCTTCCTGGACCTGTTTCTCACTCAGAAAGGGGCGCGGTGGAGCCACCTGGATCGGGTGGATAGAGCTCTTAAGAGGCTGGAGACCCAGCACTTTGGGACCTGGGATCCAGCCGCACCCCGCCTCTCTGCCCCCCACCTCGCGCTCCTCATCTGTCCGGCAGCTGTTTCCCCGCAGCCCTCCTGGCGGCATCCTGTCGCCGGGCTGGACTCACCGCGCACGCGCCCTCCGGTGTCACTCGCACCCGCTGGGCTCGGGCAGCAGGGCTCTGGGAGGCTCCGCTGCCTGCCGTGCACGCGCAGAGCGCGCCCCCCGCCTTTGTCAGTTGCCACTCTGGGGCCAGGTTGTTTGCCGCGCGCTCCCTGAGTCACCCAGCGGCTGAGGGCGTTCCCAGGCCTCGCCTCCGCGGGTTGAGGGCGGGGCAGCGCTCCACCTGCCAACTCACCTGCCCGACTGCTCAAACCCCCACTCCTACCGCACTGGGGTGACGAGTCTGCTCGTGGGCCCTCCTCCTGGGAAAGGGTCTCTGTGCTGGTACCCGAATCACTGAGCTGGAGGGCCGTGTCTTAGTTTGTTTTCTATTGCTGTTTTTTAACACCATGACCAAAAGCAATTTGGGGAGAGGACTTCAGTATCATGATCACAGTACACAAAGGCAGGAACTCAAGCAGGGCAGGAAGTTGGTAGCGGGAACTGAAGCAAAGACCATAGAGGAATGTTGTTGGCTTGCCTTCTCCAGGGGCTTCAAGTGTGTCACCACCCACAGGGCTGGGACCTCCCACAGCCATCGTTAATCAAGAAAATAACCCCAAAGACTTACCTATAGGTCAATCTCAACGGAGGCTCCCTCTTCCCAGATAACCTTAGCTGGTGTCAAGTTGACCAAAACCTAACCTTAGCTGGGACTTGTGAATTCCATCTGTGGAGCACACAAAGCTGCCAGTGGTTTCTTCTTGTCCATGCTCATATTTTATTTCATATTACAGTGAACGAGGGTCCCTTCTGGGCACCGAAAACTCTGAGGTTAATTCTACAGATAGGGTCCCCAGTAGCCATAGCCTCCTGTGCTAGACATCCAACTCATAGTTGGAAGTGCAAATTACTGTGAAATTGACAAAACATTTTTTTTATACAGATAACCTAAGCTTGTGTGTGTGGACGGCTCTAATCTAGTATTATTTATCCAAAGACAGCATCTCACTAGGTAGCCATGACCTGGAACTCACTATGTAGACCAGCCTGGTCCCCCGACTCACAGAAACCTGCCTGCCTCTCCCAAGTGCTGGGATTAAAGGCATGCACACTACACCTGGCCTGGGTTTTTGTTTTTTAAATGATTTCTCGAACATTTACAAAGACATAAACATCAATTCCCCCCCTCGTACAAAGATAAAACCCAAAGATAAAAAGGACTCTCCTGTACCTCTTTCTCCAAGAGCAATCAATCTTTAAACTTTACCCACTGAAATAATACATTTGTCTCATTTAAAATTCAAAAGCATATTCTCAAGATTGTTTCTCATTGATCTTTGGATCTCTTCAGTAGCTGGCATACTGCCATAGATACAGTTCGTGCTGAACTAGTGTTTGTTGAGTGGGTGGATAAGAGTACAAACTAAGAACTGTGGAAGTCAGAGAGAGATGCGATTTGAATTGGGACAACACATATTTTGAGAATCAAAGGACAGTTACCCTCTCTGCTGTTGTTTCTCCTTTTTCCTGAGGCACACAAGACTGAAACGGAACCCAGACAGAACTCCCAAACCAGATGCAAAACTAATCATGGATTTATTTAGAGATACTATACACTGCAAGATCATACTCTTTGGGGTTAAGTATATCTAGAAATGATGGAATAGCTAGGCTGCTGTGGTCTTCAGTAGTAGCAAAAACTGGTACTGGTTAAACAGAAGCAGAAATGGAATACATTTAAAAAACTCCTTGGGGAGCTCAATGAATCGCTACAAAAGTCTAAAGAGAAGGCTTGAGTGACTCAGCAGTTAAGAGTGCATGCGACTCTTCCAGTTCCCAGCGCCCACATTGGCAGCTTATAACCATCTAGAACTCGAGCTCCAGGTAGATCTGCTGTCCTCTTCTGGCATCCACGTGCTACTGAATACAGGGTCAGAGGCATACAGGTAGGTGAGTGTGCACACATATATTCTTGTGCATGCACGCGCACACACATACACACACAGGGTTTTAAAATAATAATGCATCTTAAACAAAGGAAAGGGTAAAGAATCAAGTTAGAAACACAAGCAGGCCATGAAAGCAGGCTAGATCAGTGGTTCTCAACCTGGGGGCCATGACCCCATTTGGGGATCCTATATGAGATATCCTGTATATCAGATATTTACCTTATGAGTCATTACAGTAGCAAAATTAGTTATGAATTAGCAATGAAACGATTTTATGGTTGGGGATCACCACAACATAAGGAACTGTATGAAAAGGCTGTAGCATTAGGAAGGATGAGAACCACGAGGCTAGAGGATCAGACTCACAAAGACGCCACACCACAGAAAGGATGCTTCTGCTCTTCTGCTGAACTCTGGCAGTGTGGCTCTCCCATCGCCAGTCTCTGACTCAGGGGAGGAGCTGTCAGAGCTGACTCAGTTGCCATCCTGCAAACAAGTGCCGAATTCACTACAGTCGACTGATACTTCTATGAATTTGCCTGCCTCTCTTCACTGCCCCCTCTCTCTTGCATCACACTCTAAGATAAACTGGGTGTTAGGTTTTGTTGTTGTTGATGATGCTGTGACAAAAAGCTCAAGAGAGGAAATCAGATTTGTTTATGGTCTCATAGGTTTAAGTCAATGGCTGGCCAGTGCATTATTTTTAGGCCCATGGCAAGGCGGAAGCGTCATGGAGAAAGTTCATGGTTAAGGAAAGCGGTTTACCTTCAAGAAACCAGTAGAGAAAGGAAAAGGGAGTCGGGGAGGGGGAGGGAGATGGGGAGGGAGAGGGAGATGGGGAGGGAGAGGGAGATGGGGAGGGAGAGGGAGATGGAGAGGGAGAGGAAGGGAGAGGGGGAGGGAGAGAGCAGAGACCCATCCCTCCAGCAAGACCCCACCCCAATAGCCCCTTCTCTGAAATCAGTGTATTAATCCACAGAGGAGATCAGTGTTCTAGGGGTCCATTTGCCTCCCTAATAAAAACAAACGTGTGGTTTCATGATGTCTTTACAGTTGCTATGATAAAAATAGTCTGACAAGAGCAACTCATGGGAGAAAGGGTTTTGTTTGTTTTTGGCTTACAGTTTTGGAGTGATACAGTCCATCTTGTCTGAAAAGGCAGGGCAGCAGGCAGGGAAGCAAGGTGACACTCAGAGACCCAAGTGTGAACAGGAAGTGGGACCAGGCTACGAAGCCCCAAGGTCCACGGTAACTCCCCAGCCCTCCAACAAGGCCTCACTTCCTAAAAGTTCTATACCTTTCCCAACAGCACCACAGGTGGTGGGGGATGCTGCAAGGGTTCAAACATGAGCCCTTATGGTAGGGGAGCTTTTCACATCAGAACCACAGCACACACCGTGGTACGGCAGCTGTCCATGTCCAGGCGGTGCCTGCATAGTCTTCAGGATCATCTATAGACCAGGCCCAGTCTTCTCTTCCTCAGTAATTGACACCGCACATCTCTTGAGGATGAAGGCACATGCTTGGGAGTAGAAGATGCTACAGCAGGAAGAGGAACAGTGAGCATCTGGGCCACTTTGTGGAACTTGCTCATGCCTGCAGCATGGACTTGAGCCTGATCATGTATAGGAGCACATCCCTTTAATGATAGGTTGTTTCTGTACACAAAGCTGGGTGTCTCAGAAGTCCCTATCTAGGGTTAAAAGCCTGAAAGTAGCCTAGAGGGGCGCTGGTAACAAACCCACTTCAGAAGGCTGACAATGCTGGATTCTGATGTTAGCAGAGGAAGGTGGCCGCAAAGACAGACAAGGCAGGCTCGCACCGCTCTTTCCTTAGACTTCTTTATATCTTAAAGGGTGCCACTCACGAGGAGAGCAGGTCTTCCCCTGTCAACTATTCATCTTTAGAAACACTCTCACAGACACACCTAAAAGGTGTGCCTCCTAGGCGACTGGGAACCTGTCAAACTAATGATCAAGACCAAACATCATATTAGGGAGAGTGTTTCTAAGGAGAAAACATTTTATCAGTGACCTGCAAGAGATAAAAAGAAAGCTGGGCAGTGGTGGCGCATGCCTAGCACTTAAGAACTCATTCTGTGAGTTCAAGGCCAGCCTGGTCTACAGAGGAAGTTCCAGGACAGCCAGAACTACACAGAAGAACCCTGTTTCAAGAAGGAAAAGAAAGAGAGAAAGAAAGAGAGAAAGAAAGAGAGAAAGAAAGAAAGAAAGAAAGAAAGAAAGAAAGAAAGAAAGAAAGAAAGAAGAAAAAATTTATTAGTTACAATCCCCTTCATCTGGGCTAGAACTCTGTAGACCAGGCTAGTACTTGAACTAGTAATGTCAGCCTGCCTCCTTAAACAGGGCTTCTCCAATTTCCTCATTTGCAGCCCTTTCCTCCTAAAATATCAGATATATAGAGATATAAAATAGTTCCAACCCCCCCCAAAAAAAACCACAAAACCCAAACAAACAAAAATAATAACAATGGCAACAACAATAAACACTCAGTTGGTGCCAATCAGAGGGGCGCAGATAATGTGAGGAGCCAGGAACCGGCTGAGCAGGTCCCTCTGCTTGTGATAGGCCTACTCTTTGAACTGTTACCCAGATCAGCTTCTTTGGATCCCTGGCAAAGCTCACAGCACACCGTTGTGTAGATCCTTGCTTTTGGTAGATGGTTCCCACCCCAAGTGTGGCTGTGACACTGACTTCTAAAGAGGATAGTATAGGGGTGAACTTCATCATGGGTGTCCCGGAAGATACTACCACAGCCAGAGGCACCCAAGTCATAGCCGGGCGGTGGTGGCGCACACCTTTAATGCCAGCACTCGGGAGGCAGAGGCAGGTGGATCTCTGTGAGTTTGGGGCCAGCCTGGTCTACAAGAGCTAGTTCCAGGACAGGCTCCAAAGCTACAGAGAAACCAAAAAAGAAAAAAAGAAAACTGGATACTCTTATTCTACATAAAGAAGTCAATGTGAGGGACTAGAGAGATGGCCACAAAGATTAAGAGTACTGGAGTACTAGCTGCTCTTCGGAGGACC